ATGGAAATTGAGCATCAAGAGGCCACGTGGTCCGGTCATAAAGGGCTGAGGTGGTCTCTTTCCCTCGAAACCAGAACTCGCTCTCCCACACCAGACCGCCTCCTTGCATGAGGTCGCTTTTAAAAGCCATCCTCTGTCCACTTCCCCACCTTCCTTCGTTCGTTTTCTCGGTGCACACAAACTTGAACAGCAAACGGCCCAACATCTTTGCAGCCACTGGCCAAGCCATGACTCACAGAACCTCATGGCCAAGCTCCCCGCTTGTGGCCACTCCTTCCTGCTCAGACCCATCTGAGCTCAGCTGGGACAAGCAGCTCTGCCCCAGGTCCCAGTGGGGTTCCCCCGACTCTGGCTGGCTGACTGGGCTTTCTCCACCACTCCCCCTACCCTCCCTGAGTCAGGACCCACAGAGCCCCATCATGAGGGGGCCACGGGGGCTCCAAGGGGGGCCGCTCTTGCTGGGGCTGTTGTCATTGTCCTGGTTTGTGCGTGAGTCGGCTGTTGGCCCCACAGGGACTTGGCAGGGGCAGTGAGCAGACATCATTTCAAATCTGTCTTTGGAAATCAGACTGCGTTTAGATTCTATGGCTACCTTTTCCTGGCTCTGGAGTCCTGTGTCAATTACTGGAGTTCCCAGAGCCTCTGTCTCTGTAAATTGGGATTAAGAATACTGACCTCACAGGGACCTCTGACAGATCAATGAGACGAAGGTCTGAGTCACTTGCCTAGAACTGGCGCCATCACCAGCCTTCACTCAATGGCAGGAAAGACGCCTGGGAGCTCAGGAGCCAGATGTACCCTGTTTCTGAAGATGAGCAAGCACCCCCTCGTGTGAAGATGAGAGACCAGGATGGTTGGAGTTCCCCAAATCCCAAACCGAACCCCTGGCTGTAAACTGAATCCTGTGATTACCCTGATCTCCGTTTGGAGACGCACTGTTGAGCTTCCATTCACGCCCACGGCCGTGCACAACTGTACGTGTCTTGATTCACACTTTCAAATGGGCCCCTGAGGGCCGTTCTAACGTAAACATGTAAGACTCCCCACACAATTGTGGTAGTATCCTGTCCACCCACGGATGCTGCCAAGCTGCTCTGTATTTTATTTCCCCACATGTTCAAAAAATAGTACTTCATGCTTATTCTGTATAGGGAGACTGGGAGGACTTACCAACCTCATGCATGAACTGCTTCTCTGAAAGACAAACGGCCACGGTGAGAGAAGCACCAAGTTCTGAGCTCCTGCCGTTTGTCAGGCAGGTAGGGTTACTGCTTTTAAATCTCTGAGTTCCCCGAGTGAAGAAGCTAAGGCCGCAGCAGGTAAAAGACTCGCCCACAGCCATATAGAGAGCACTGGGGAGCCCGGGTCTGTCTGCGAGGCACGGTGAACTTGGCGCAGGCCCTCTGCCGTGGCGTCCATGGGCACCCGCCAGCACACGGCACATTTCCTCACATAGAGCACCCTACTGAGCATCACCTATCTTACCATTTCACAGTAGTTGTGGGCGTCTTTCCATGTCCGCACAGTAGACCTTTTTTTTTTTGGATTGTGTGATTATTAATGAATGAATTTACTATCATTCATTTAACCAATGCCCATTTCTTGGCTGTTTATTAACTTGACAGTTCGTGCTGTTGTGCCCTTTGCTAGAAGGAAGGAGGTTTCACGTTTTTGTCCACTGAGGAGATGTTTCCTGCAGAATAAATTCCTAGGAGTGAAACTGTAAGGGGTAAGGTTATACATAGTTGTTTTTGTAAATACCCTCTCTCCCTTCCCCTCAGTCTCTCTTCCTCTTCCTCTTCCTCTCCTCCTTCTCTCCCTCCCTCTCCCCCCAGTTGTCTACCCCCCTCTTCCTCACTCACCACGAGGACTTTCCCCGTTTTTCGTCCTGAATCTTCTGCACATTCCCATCTCTAAGCCTCGTTCTTATATGTAAAGGGGCACTTCTGAGATTTATGAAACATGCTTCTCTCTCAGCAGGGCCCATTGCTGTCTAATTCAACAGAGCCTAATTTGAAACTAGCTGCCAGGCCCTGGGCCCTTTACCCCAGGCTGGCGTGCCCTCCCCACCAAACAGGGGTGGCCGGGACTCAGTGAGTGGGAGCCTCGTGGGCAGCCAGGAATGGGGAGAATCAGGAACCAAAGGTGCACTGGATGGACACCTCAAAACAATATCAGCTCTGTTTTTGCAGTAGTAAGCATTTAAATGATTACAGAATTTCAGTAAAGTGGCAAATTACAGACACTACATCTTAGGAAGGGTGACGTTCATCCTTTGCCTCAGCCCCTCCCTGGCACCCTCTTCCGAGACTTAAGTTTTTGGTGGGTTGGCTCTGGCAGGGATCTGTGAGCTCCGGTGCAGGAGGCACCGGCACTGCGGAGCCCCAAGACGGTGCGGGAGGACGGAAGGCGGCCAGCTCTGCCACCCCGTCCTCCATGCGGGTGAGACCAAGACCCCTGACGGACACCCCCACCCCCCGCCGGGTGCGCCCAGGGCTAGCCCTGCCTGGCTTCTCCAAAACTCCGCTGCTGCTCAGAAACGGGATGGGAACGCCTCGGGGGGCCTGGGGCCGCTGCCTCCACTCCTGCCCTTGCCGTGAGTCTGGAATCTCATTAACAAGGCTCCTTTAAGGAACTTTCATCACCCCCCACCCTTTTAACAAGTGATGCTCATTATGTAAAGATCAGAAACTATGGCTGAGCATATATATAGATACATCATGATTATGATACGATCATTACATATGATATCCTTTATATAAAATCACGATTTTTAATGCCCTGAAAAAATGACATTTCAACATTTCATTTAATATTTATATACTTATGTGAGTATTAATGTGCATTATTGTCACCAGACAGAGGCCGGCCTGCAGTGTGCGGGTTCTTTACTTCGTTTGGGAAAGACTTCACAGCATGAGTCCAGGAGATTTTTTTAAAGATTTTATTTTTAGACAGAGGGTAAGGGAGGGAGAAAGAGAGGGAGAGAAACATCCATGTGTGGTTGCCTCTCATGTGTTCCACACCAGGGACCTGGCCCACAACCCAGGTGTGTGCCCTGACTGGGAATTGAACCAGCAACCCTTTGGTTCACGGCCAGCCCTCAGTCCACTGAGCCACACCAGCCAGCATGATTTTTTAAAAGATTTTATTTATTTGTTTTTTTTTTTAAGATTTTATTTATTTATCTTTAGAGGGGAAGGGAAGGAGAGAGGGAGAGAAACATCAATGTATGGTTGCCTTTCGTGCGTCCCCTGCTGGGAACTGGCCTGCAGGGAACCGGCCTACAACCCCGGTATGTGCCCTGACTGGGAATCGAACCGCGATTATCTGGTTCGCAGGCCTGTGCTCATATTTGTTTGTTTTTAGAGAGATGAGAAGGGAGGGAAAAAAAGAGGGAGAGAAACATCAATGTGTGAGTGATACATCAATTGGTTGCCTCTTGCACATGCCCCGACCAGGGCCCTGGCCTGCAACCCAGGCACGTGCCCTGACTGTGAATTGAACTGGTGACCTTTTGCTTTGTGGGTTGATGGCCCACCAACTGAGCCACACTGGTCGGGGCGAGTCCAGGTGATTTTCAGCGAACACTGATGACAGCTGGGGACAGTGAAACAAAGGAAGGACTTAAGGTGGAAGAAGTAACAGGAGGGAGCCTAGGCGGAGTCCTGCTTTGGCTGCCTAGAAACGTCATAGGCAGTAAGTGAGCCAAGGTGGGGCCCGGTTAGCTCACGGGGAAGTCAGAGGGAAGGGGGGCCTGGGAGGCAGGATCGGGGGGTACCCGGGACGAGCTGCCACGGCCCACGCTGCTCCCCTGGTTGCAAGTCTCGTGGGGCCCCTTAGAGTTTAGAAGGAAGTAAAAAGCTCACACCCGCGAAGGGGCGTGAGTGTGTTCTAGAGGGAGCCACACTCAGTCTTTGTCATGAGGGTTTTTGTCTTTCTCCTTCTCCTGAGAATCTTAGGGGAGGGTCCCAGCAGAACGTTCACCAGCTTTCCGGGTGTGTTTTGAACATGCCGATGCATCAGAATGAACGTACTGTGGGGCAGGTGTTGGGTTATTCTCTGCTTCAGTGTTTTTTTTTATCTTGGGTCTGTCTGGCTTTCATGGGATTTTTGTTATTTGTTCCCCTGACTTCATCTGTCCTTGGGTTTAGCACACATGGCATTAGCTGGGTCTCTGTCCTCTGTGTCCCAGACCAGACCAGGGATATTTAAGCTCTGTGTTTCCTGGTCTGGGGGAAGAGGTAGAAACCGTTTGCTCTCAAGTGTTCTTGGTTGGGGAAGATAAGATCTTATGATTCACCAGCTGGGGGTAAGTTGTTCAAATTTTTGGCCTTACTTAATATTCTCGTCTCGATTTCCTTGTTCCATTTGCCCAGGACCTTTCCTAGCTTCTTACTATCCAGCCTCAAGGCCGAGCCAGAAGGAGACTGAGGTCACCTCCTTACCTCCAGCAGGCGACTTGGGGGCTGGCTGTCCTACGGCCTCTCCCTGCCCTGCACGCCAGGGGCACTGGGCTCAGAACAGGGAGGAGGGACGTGGAAGAACGGACTGCCCCTCTTTACCCAGCACCCAGTCCCGAGGTTGTGATTTCTATAAGGACATACTTCTCATGTCTAGCATGTGCCTGGCCAAGACGTTCAAGAATTGTGTTGAAAAATGAATGCATGAATGAAAGTACATAACAAAAGTTAGCACCCCCCCAACCCCCTGTCTCAGTCACTCATGTCTTTCCTGGTTTAGGAGTTTTATTTGTCAATCGGAGGAGGGTGTTCCGTTGGCTCAGAACTTGCTTAGGCAACAACGTGGCACAACCCAGGGGACACGTGGTGTGTGTCTTGGAGGAATATAGGTCCCTGGGCAGGGCTCCAGGCTCCCACAGTCGCCAGTGCCACCGCTGGCCTTGCATTTCAGCTCAGTGGGCGGAAGGGCATACGTCTCAGCTGTTTTCAGCCCTGCTGCAGCATTGCCACCCAAGACTTCCAGCGGCACCATGAAGTTGGCAGGCTTCCTCCTGCTCCTGACCGTCATCATCCTCAGCCTGGAGATGCAGGAGTTTCAGGCTGCGGTGCTACCATATAGTGTGATGGGTAAGTCCAGGCGGAAGGCAGCCCCATTTTCCTCAGATGATGGAGCTAGCAAGTAGGACATCAGAGCTCGGTATTTGCAGCTGGAGGAGGGGAGGAAGTAAGAGGGTAAATATTCTAGTCAAGGCGTCTTTGCAGGGACCCACCTGGGCCCCAGCATTCCTCTTGCTGCCTCCGCTTCCCCCCCTCCTTTCCCCATCACCCCCCATCTGGACCCTCTTCCATTTCTCTCCTGGTCCCTCACCAGCCACACTCCTCCTCCCAGCATCTCTCTTTCTACCAGTGTCCTTGTCCCTTGATAAAAATCAGGGGCATTGTCCAGAGAAAGTATTTTCTTAATGATGTTAAATATTAATCACCTCCCTCTCTTCTTTTCCTTTGACCATTGCTATCCTCAACTCAGAGAAGCAATCTTAATTCTCTGCCCTCACTTCCCCGTACTTCATCCCTTACGCCCTTGAATATGGACTGGAGTCTCCATGGCTGCCCCCCTCACTCAGCCAAAACTTCTCTCCTGGGTCCCGTTGACAAAGGTCTTGACTCCCTTCAGTAGCCAAAGTCTTTAACCTCCACAGCGCCCGACAGTTTTCGCCACACCATCAACCCTCAGACCCTCATCTCTCCTGGATCATCTTCGCTGTCTCTACCCAAAGACTATTGCATGACACACTTACCCCCTCTCTTCTTTGCTGTCCTCTTACTACATTCAGCTGGTTGCCCAAATACCATCCCTTCTTTGAAATCGTCTCTTTCAGATGTTCCTTCCTTCCCACCGCCCATTGCCTCACTGTGTTTCCAGCCCTGATCACCCCACGCTGGAGCCAGCGCAGGGCTTCCAGTGGCTCTCCCTGTCCTTCTGCCTCCTGAAGTTTAATTGTTTGTCCAACCCTGGTTCCTTCTGCGCGCTGACACCAGAATAGCCTTCCTGAGTAAACGGTAATCACATCCCCCTCTTGTCCTGCCACATAAAATCCAAACTGCTCAGATGCTCAGGATCCCTCCTCTGTGACTGTCCCCCCTGCCTACTTTTCCTGCTCAACTTCCAAACGTTTCTTCCTACTTACTTATCCAGCCTCCCTTTTGCCTGTGCTCCCGTATTCCTCATATTTCAGGGTGAGGAGCGAGGCGGGGGAGGCACCCAGGGTTCGACACTTAAGGAGTTACTCCTTCTCCAGATGGTGTGAGTGCCTCCTTAATTTTGTCCCTTTGTGGGGGTTTTGACATTTTGACCAAATAATTCTTTGCTGTGGGGCTGCCTTATGCATTGGAAGATGTTTAGCGGCACCTCTGGCCTCTACCCACTAGAAGCCAATAGCGGGAGACAGTCCACACACTCAAAATATCCAAATCTATAAAGCTATTGGCACAAGTGGAAAATGTGTCTGTTATTTAATGGAAAACACTAATACTTTTTGGCTGACCCCATACATTGTACCCATCCCACTAGGTCTCCTTCTTACATGTCTTTAAAGTAGGTCTTGCTTTATTGGGATTATGTGGATGTATTATTTTTAAACAAAATATATAAGATGTTAATAATGATTTTTATTCTGCAAGTAATCACTTAAGTGACACTGTGTATTGAACTGAAAGAAAAAAAGGGGCGCTGGCCCCTTAAACCAGGGCTGTCTTCTGGACCACCTGTGCCTCAAGCACCAGGGGACTCAGTTGCTCTGCTCTGATGCAGGCGCCTGCGTGGAACTCTGCAGCGGGACCTGGGACTGCGACCCGGGGGAGCGCTGTGTCAGCAACGGGTGTGGCCACGTCTGTGCTGCAGACTAGGCACAGGTAACAGCATCAGGCCCTTTCCTGCTGCCTCAAACCTTGTCCGAGCCAGGCAGGCTGTGTGCTCGGCCCTGGCGGGACTTTGCAGAAACGAAGGGACAGAAGTCTGTCTCTCTGTGGTCTCCCCTCTTCATCCACACTTCCCCCAAATAAGAAGCATCTGTCGCAGGAGAGTGCTTTCCAAACCCTTAAAATAATTTAGTAACCCAGTATATCCTGCAGAGAACCCAGAGTACTTGATCAGAAAGAAGATAACAATCACCCACGATCCCAAAATGATGCCTGCTTAACACTTTGGCAAATACTTTGAACACACACAAATATGTAATATTTATATAAGAATATGATAATGTGTGAGTTCTTCATTATTTCACTTAGGAAGAGGTAGTGGACAATATTTGCTACCAGCACCAATGCTCCCATGCTCCCAATGCCAAACTCCTTTTCACCGGGGGCCATATCAGCCCCATGATTGCCTTCAAAGGGCTGAATGGAATTTCAACTCCTTGACACTTAAGGAGTAGTTACATTTATACAGTCCTAAAATCATTTTGGTCCCTTGAAGGCAACTGTGAGACTGATGTGGCCCCCCGTGAAAATGAGTTTGACACTCCTATTCTATACAATCCACTTTAAAAACCTTATGGAAGTCCTCATATACTTAGCAACTTCGGTTCATGCAAATTTAATATAATTCTCATTTTTATAGTATTAATATGGCTGTAATGCATATTAAATTGGTGTACATGCCCTTATTAGTTGCTGTTGAGATAAATTCTATGAAGGGTAACTAATGACCAAAGAATAGACTCATTTTAAGCCTTTAATGTACATTGCCTTACTTACCTATGAAAACCCCTTTCCTGTAAAAATATTTCAGTGTTTTCACATGATCGTTTCTTTATTTTCAGTAGCCATTCAAAAGAAAAAATCATAAAAGCTACTGTGATTCAATTATGATTATAAAATAGGTTGTATTAAGTACAACAGAATCAACATAGACTTTAAAAATAACCCATTTGTGTTCAGAATTTGTCCCACCCACCCACAATCCTTGGGGCATTTTCTGGCCTTGCTGGCTCCTTACAGATGCTTATTGATTCCCAGAACTGGAACTGTCGCCTCTCAATAGGATGAAGTACACTTGGGTCCCTGAAATGGCAGGTCTCATGCATACTTTTTGTCCATTTTTCAGATGAAGATTTATCTCAAGGGTCACCCCTTTCTAGTTTCTCACCCCTTCTTGGAGTTCCTGTCTTCAAAGATGCAGTTGTTCGGAGCTCTTTGCCCAAGAAGATAGATGAACACAGGGCCTGTGGATGGAGATTCCAAGGAATGTGCTGGGGAAGGGGAAAAAATCTGTTTCTTTTAATAAATCGGCATGGTTAAAAGTACCCACACTACCTGAGTTATTTGGGCAGGAGTGAGGAGGAGGAAAAGGAGAAAGTGGGGGACAGATGACATTTGTTCAGCTCTTGCTACCTAACACATGTTTCTATAACAAGGTGTTCTATTCTCCACAAGTGTCATCCAACTTATCCTGACAACCACCTTGTAACTATGTTCATTATCATTACCATTCTTCATATAAGGACACTGCGGTTTGGCAGAATTAAGTAATTTGTTCAGTCAAACAGCAGGTAAGTGTCAGGGTCTCAACTGCAACCTAAGATGAGCCACAGCCAACCCAAATCCTTTCCGCGGTCTCTTTTATGCCACCTCCAACCAGGCCTTACGTCCTTCTAGCCCAGTGGGTTGGACATCTCATCTGCACTCCTTCAAATACTCTTCCCTTTAACAGTCCTGTTGTAATCATTGCTACAACAACCAGTTTATCTCAGGCATCTACTGGATGAGTGCATGAAAACTTATCCAGCCTTGCCTTGAACGTGTAGCCTAGTCCTCCACCCCTCTCACTTTTGCCTCAGGGCTTCCTCGACTATTCAAATAAGAGACTCCCTCAGGAACTGTCACATCCTGATGCGTGATCAACTCCAAAGCACTGGAGGATTTACACTTGGTGGGGTAGCCGAGGATGACAGAGATCAAAGACTTACAGATAGATCCGTGATTTCCCCTTCCATTCCTCAGAAGGGGGATCCTGAGAGTGTTCAGAAAGGCTTTGCAGAAAGTCCCAAGGATTGAGCAGTCACCTCTTGTGACGGCCAACTTAATACCACATATTTGCATTGATACTCCTTTCTTCCATGTTCATTTCCAAATAATCCACTCACACGCTAACCTCATCTGAGGCTCTACTTTAGGGGAAGTCAGACCAAAAACATCAGTGTCTAGGTCTCAGCTCCTCATCTCCGAGCAAATGCTTCAATATCACAAATACATGTACATGCATAACATGCATATGCACATGTCCCCAAAATAAACAACAATATACAAGCATAATGAAATCTGAAGTCAAACAAAAAATAAATGTTTCTTCCCAAGGAAGCCCAAAGTCTTCAGATAATTAGCTCTTCTAAAACATATGCCAAATCTTCACTGATAAACAGAAGTGCTTTATTCTCAGTCACATGTACATTCAGGTGACTTCAAGGTTTTCCCTGAGAGTCGCAGTGAGAATTTGCTTTATATTTTTGCACAACTGAGAGGTTTTCCCAGACTGCCTTAATGTAAATTTCAAGGCTTCACCTCTTGGGTAATGAAAACTGTTCACAGATTTTTAAATGGCTATTTCCCCCCACCCCCCAGCATTTTGCTTTTAAGATTTCAGGAAATCTTGAGTGTGTCCAATCTCAACCAGGTCACCCTTGGGCAGGTTACATTTTATGTGTTCAGTGTGAACTCCCAAATTACTCTCCTTGTGTGGTGAGTTTTCTCAAGATCCACACGAGGATTCGCAGCCCGCCACAAGGAATACCGGGGAATGTAATCTTTATTCAGAGTGGTTTTGTGCGTGGCGGGAAGAAAAACAGGGGTTGTGATTCCAAGTAGAGGCATGTAGTACAACTCGCGGTTTCTGCCACTGCCATCCACCGCGGCCCGTCTCCAACTCCAGCCCAAATCCGAAACGCTAGTACTGAAGAGGAAAGTCGGCCCTGCTCAGGAACAAACTTCCTGGGAGAACAAACAGTCGCCACCTCCCAGGCAAGGATCAGGGAGAGGTGGGCGGTGAAAAGGTCTCCAGGCTCATTTCTAACGGGTATTTGCGGGGTACCTATCTCAGGAGTCGTTCCCCTAAGTCTTGCAATGCAATCGCCTTGGGTCCTGGCCCAAATAAAGTATTTCCGGAACTGAAGCGAGGAGTCGGGGGATGTCCCGGAAGTATTTCCTCTCGTTGTTCAACGTAGAAAAGATGGCGACGGTGCAAGTCGCCGGCTCCCTGCTGGGCGGGTCGCCACGAGAAGCGCCGCGGGAGCTGCCCCGAGAGCTGGGCGCTGGGTTCCGTCGCCTTTCGGCCAGGCTCTGCGCCTTGCGCCCCGATGACAGCAGCTCCTCCCGCACCGAGATCCACCTGCTCCTAGACCAGCTCATCTCCGAGAACTACAGCGAGGGCGGCGGCGTGGCCCCGGAGGTAGGCGGGGTGTCCCGCGGAGGGGACTCCGGGAGCATCTGCTGGCCTCGGCCCCACCCCGCAGGGACCCTAGCTGGTAGCTCCCGCCTGCTGCTCCGGGCTTTTCTCACCCCATCTGCGAATTCCTTAATTCCAGGCTAGTTTGCACCCTCCGACCGTGACACATCCTCTTTCCTCCCTCTGGAAGTCTCTGAAGTGCTTTACAAACTTGCATTTTTCAAAACCCAACTTGCTGACTTCTGCTCTGGTACCCACGCATGTGTCATCTCTGGTTCCACTTTCCACTCACCGCCCCTTTCCCACCCCACTCCCTGCATCCAGAATATTTTGTATATAAAATTCACTACTACTATTTATTGAGGACATGGTACATGGGGTACGTATTGTGCTTTCCCGTGCAGGGTTCCGGGAACTTTATAGAGTGTGGCTATGATTTGGTCCGTTTTATTGATAACGCAGAGGCTCAGGAAGATCCAATGCCCTGTTTCTGGCAAAGGCAGGGCTAGAATTGGAACCTAAGTGTCATAAAGTCCCTGCCTTTTTCTGTTCCTTCACCCTAGGCTCTGCCCTCTCTGCCTCCACTTTAGAAGTGTGTCCGTGGTATTATCCACGCACATCAGGTCTCGGATATGACTTACTGAATTCCCTGAACTCTTGACCCATCATACCACTGCCTCTGGTGTTCACAGATGCTTCAAACTTGACAGTTCCTAAGAACGAGGACATTATCTCCCAGCTGGTCCTGTTCTCCAACACAGGCAAACACGCACACACATAGTCTGCCAAGTCACACAGGCACAAACCGTTTCTTCCTCTTTCCTGTCCTCCAGATCCTGCCCAATCCGGATTCTTTACAATGTGTCTCATAAATACATCTCAATCCATCTCCTCCTCTGTATTCCTGCGGCCAATGCCTTAGGCCCTCCAGGCCAGGTGACTTTCCTGGACCATTGCACTTGGCTTCTCTAACTCAATGCCTGCCTCCAGGCCAGCGCTTCTCCAAACCATTCTTTGCTCTGCTGCCAGAGTGATCTTTTCTTTAGTGGGAAGAGATCTGCTTACAGTAGTTCCATACATATTGGTAAATGGTCAAAGCCAGTTACAGAACAGTTCATACAGTAGGAGACCAATATAGGGTGGGGAGGTTTAAAATTTATGTACGGTTATAGATACAAAGAATTCACAACAGAAGAATAGTTTGTCACCAGGGAACGGAGTGGAAGTAAGGAGTAGTTGGGGATGGGACTTTTTACTTGTATAATTTGCTATTTTTGCACCAAAACTATGTGCCTTTCCAGGGTCCTGTTCTGTAGCCCCTTCCACTGTGCCCCAAATGCGGTCCTTTACGATTTACTGTTCCTCAAGTGCCCACTGGTGTTTCACTCCACTAGTATGCCAAGTCTTTGCTCTCGATTCCCTTTTTTAAAAAATTATTTTTATCCTCACCCGAAGGACATTTTTTTTCGTTGCTTGTGTAGAACAAGAGGATGGGAAAGAGAGAAACTTTCATGTGAGAAAGAAGCATCAATTGGTTGCCTCCTGTACATGACCGAATCAGAGATTGAGTCCATAACCTGGGTATGTGCCCTGACCAGGAATCGAACCCTCAACCTTTCCATTATGGGATGATGCTCCAACCAACTGAGCCACACCGGCCAGGGCACATTCTGTTCCGTTTGCTTGCAGTGTCTTTCAGCGCCTTGTCTGTCTGTAGATTTTCACTCATCCTTCAAATCAGTCCAGATTCTGCTTAAAAGCCAATTCCACAAGACCTCCCTAATTACGATTTCTCCAGAGTTTGTACTTAATTCTTTTAGCACTTAGTTCACGTGAACTATTTGTGAGTATTTTCATCTCACTAATTAGATTGGGAACTTTTGGGGGTTTGGAAATATGTTTACCTTTGGAGCACAAAGACCTAGCTTACTACCTGGCACATAGTAGGTGCTCAGAGCCTTTATATTCAGTAAACATCAATAGATGAATGAATAGTGCAATTTTTTTTAGAATTCCCTAATTTTACATTAAATTCACACAGGCGTCATTTCTGATTTTCCCAGTGGCATTGAGAATCTGGTTTGCCACTTTTTGGTGTTTTTAACTTCAGTGTGTGCTTTATTGTGGGAGCCTTTCTTTTCATTGTACTGCTTCTACCTGTGTAGAGACTCTGGAGTCTTTAGCCTCACAAAAACTATATCGATTCATTTTTTTAGCACATTATGTTTTCGTGATGTCTACTTTCTGCCTCAAATTTCATCTTTCTCTATTTTCAGTGTTAACATTCACTTTTATTTTCCTATTTGCCTGTGTTTTTTGGAGGGGGGGGGAGGGTCTTGACCAGTAGGTATATCACCTTTTCTTCATCTCTTGTTTTTGTAGGATGTCAGTACTCTTCTTGTCCAGACTTGTCGCCTGGTGCCTCTTAATCAGAATCATCTTGTCAGCAAAGTGTCTCAGCTTATCCACCACTTACTTAACACATTACAGGTAACTATGAAACTTTAGAATTCAGGTTATGAACTTTGATAATAACTAAGTACCTTTGAAATATCGGGTTCGCCAAAAAGGCCATTTAGTTTTTTTCTGTAAGTAAAAGACACGTTTTTCATTTTCACTACTAGCTTTATTGACTTGGCTATTTTGAGTATGTTGGCACTCTCCCACATGGTATAACATTGATTGTTCTCAATTAATGTCTCGATTTGATCGCTGTCAACTTTGACCGATCCACCTGACCGTGGAGCATTGTCCAGCGAGAAATCTCCAGCATGAAACTTCGCAAATCACTTTTGATACATTCAATCAATCACAGTACTTCTCCATACACTACATGAGTCTTTTTTTTTCATTTCAGTTGTGTTTTTACCTTCCTTGAAGTAATAAAGCATAATATGCCAAAAATGTTGCTTATTTTCTTCCATCTTCAGTATTAAAATGACTACACAAAATCACCAATTTTGATAGGTTTTTTAAATGCACGCTGATATGACAGCTGCCATAATACATCCTAACAAAATTGTTTTGAATGAGTTTAAAGACAGGTACGTGCTACCAGAGCCACCATAGGGAAAAAACCAGACAAACTCTTTGGCCAACCCAATGCATCTGTGATAGGAATGGTGGGGTGGTCTTTTGAGAAGCTAAAGAAAAAGGAAATGTCCACTAAGAATGATACTAAAACACATCTAACTCTGACCAAAAAAAATATCCTGCGCAATTCTAGAAGTTTCTTCATTAGCGGTATTCTAAAGAAACCAATATCATTCAGCTCCTAGGTCTTAGAATTTTTCAAGGAAGACGCATTTGACCAAGATATGTCTAGGAATGAATTGAAATGATCCCCAACCCCTTTCCTGCCAATATTCTTTGCTCTTCCCAGAGCCCCCATTTGTTGTCTTGGTCTTTGTAAAACGAGAGACGTGGCCTGGGGCCAGGGGATGCTAGACCGAAGGGCCCCTTTATTCTTATCAAGGTCTGTGCTGTAGCTCCCTCCTCTCCAGAATCTTTTCCAATTTGCTAAGTAAATCTATTATTTTTTTAGAAATAGTTAACCTATTACTACTAAGGCTGTTATTATAAGGTAGCACAGGAGTGTATAAATGTAGTTCACACAGAACGTACCAATTAGCATTGTACTATTCAGGGTGCTGTCGTCTCCGAGGAACAGAAAAGCCAACGCAGCGCAGCCGAACGGTTTTTTGTAGTGACGCCCACGGGAGGCAGCGGTAGGGCCCTTACGAACAAGAGGGTTCCTGGCGCCTTCCCGCTCTGCCACCCACTGTGTACGGGCTGTCCTTAGCCAGCATCTCGCAGGGTCGTGGGCAGCTGCTCCACTCCAGGCATCCCGTGCAAAATACATAAATAACACCGGGCAGAAGCAAAAGAACTATTGGTTTTGTGTCTTTTTTATTAAAGAATGGGGAAATTGGTCCCATAGACCCTCCTGCATTCCTCCCCTGATGTTTGGCTGGGAGGCGTCTGAGTGCCTTCCGCACCATCTTGATCGGGAATGCTGTGGCCTTGAGTGGCTTAGATCGGGGTTTTGACCTTGACCGCACGGCAGGACCCCTGAAGGGCTCCAGCTCCCTCAACGACTGCAGGGTTTCTCAGCCTTGGCCCCGCCGGTGTTTGGACTAGATCATTCTTCGTTGTGAGGGGCTGTCCTGTGCGTTGCAGGGGGTTTGGCAGAATCCTTGGCCTCTGCCCACTGGACACCAGTAGTGTGCCTCCTGTTGTGACTGTCAGAAATGTCTCCAGACATTTGGCAAATGGCCCCCCGGGGACAAGACGGCCCCTGGTAGAGAGCCACTCTCTTACACTGATTAGGATTTACCCCCGGGTCCCACGTGGGAGAGGTGAGCACCCAGATGAAAGTCACTCTGCCGACAAAAGCGGAGGATGTGAGTGTCCGCAGGCTCCCAATGGCATCTGCTGCAGGCGGCCTCACAGACGCAGTGAGGCCGTTTGCACGTTCAGACTTGTTCAGACTGACGTAGTTTCTGGATATTCTCTGTTCTCAGGTGTATCACCTTCGTCGCACTGGCAGTTGGAATCGTTTCTAATTACCTGTGACATCCCCAGCCCTTAAGCAGGTTTCTAGCATTCGATGAGAGTTTATCTCAGTCGTCCACGAGCTAATGTCTGGATTAGCCTGCTCTGTCCCACCGAGATTACAAATGACTGGGGCGCGGGGTATGCCACCTCTTCGTGTTGTGTTCACCGCATTATGGGGGCAACAGAGTAGCTACTTAGTAGACATTCACTCCCAGTATATTGGTTGAGCACTTCCTACATGTAAGGCAATTTAGTTGAATTAAGAAATTTCAGCGATCAAGTCTTACCTGTCTGTCTGTTTACAACCACCGGTGTCTGGGTGGTTCAGGGAAAAACGACAAGGGGTTTGCTGAGATCTCCCTGGACTAGAGAGAGTGCAGGGCCAAAGAGAGGCCAGTCCTGATCAGACTTTCAGGTCTGAGCTGAGCTTTTGACACGAGAGCTGAGCTTTTTGACACGAGAGAGATGGACCCGCCACCCAGCGTGATTCCGATGAGCGTGCGTGTCGGAGAAGGGCAGAAGCCTTCCCAGTCCGGCCGTGTGCATGTCCTCCTCTGTCTGCAGGTGATCGTTGACGAGCAGAACCTGGACTTCCTGCTGGCGTACACGACGTCTGCTCTCCAGCAGTGCAGCTGCTGGACGCACGTGCAAGTTCTCCAGGCCCTGGCGGCGCTGGTTTACGGCAACGGCTCCAAGTGCCAAAAGGTGGCTTAAACTGTGTCCAGGGGGTTGGTTGGTTTGTTTTTGTCTTTGTCTTTGTTGAAGGGCTGGGGGCACAGGTTCTGACCCACAGGCCTCTGTTCTGGTTCCTGTCCTGCTGTTCGTTCCCTGAGCCGGAGCCCCACAGCCCAGCCACTCTGAGGCCCGCTCCTCCGTGTGTGGAACTCTGCCTCTGGGGCCGGAGGGAGACAGTACTTGTGACGTGCTTGGCACCTCAGAATATTAGCCGTTATCACCAGTTACCGTGACCCTTCGGCTCTGCGTCCGAGACCGGGCACTTGAGCAACTCCCTAGGCGGGAACGAGGACCCTTTCCTGTGTTTTTCGGTGTGTCTTTGCACGCCCATCTGAAAGATGTACCTAGCAGCTGGTCTTTTGCTACTTAACTGCCCTTTAGTTAAAAAAATGAAGTCTGTCTGAAGAGTCATGTTTTCCAGGAGCTGCTTGTTCAACATTGGCTGTCGCTTTGTTTTAGTACCTCCCAGACTTACTAGGCAGGAGCGGACTCTTGGTGAAGCTGAGTGACCTGACCCAGCCTGACCCCGAGGTTAGGAGAGCTGCAGTACATTGCATGGCGAACCTGTGTCTCAGGTGGGTGGAGCCAGCAGGCTTCCCAGGTGTGATGGTACAGGGAAACACACTCCGACGTTCTTTGTGGGTGGTTCGGTCTGTCTGAAGCCAGAACCAACTTAGGAAAATAACCTGCTTTGCATTTCCCATGTTCTTTGCTAATAGTATCATTTTATATTATTTATTTTTAATTTTAATGTTGCTTGTAAAGAAATGACAAAATTTTCTAAGACCTTATCTCTAAATATAGTAGAAGTGATATATGTGCTCTGGCTGGTGTAGCTCAGTGGATTGAGCACAGGCCTGCAAACCAAAGGATCGCCAGTTCAGTTCCCAGCAGGGCACATGCCTGGATTGTGGGCCAGGCCCCCAGTTGGGGCCATGTTAGGGACAACCACACACTGATATTTCTCTCCCCCTCTTTCTCCTTCCCTTCCCCTTCTCTAAAAAATAAACAACATCTTTTTTTTTTTAAATGATATATGTGCAGTATGTCAAGGTTTTGTTTTCTACTGGTATAAATTCTGACCTTACTCAGTCTTCTGAAAGGATATATTCATACGAATTGAAGCTTTGATGAGATTTGTCCATCAAGGCCAGTTTCTTCTGAGAAAACGGAAGCCGTCTCAGCTGCCCGCTGGTCGATCCCCGCGGTGGGAGATGAGCAGCGCACACCTGACCTGACGTGTGATGTTTTGTCTCTACTTGGCACTACTGCCCAGGGGCCGGGAAGGCAGGTCTAGCTCTGTGATTCTGACTTGGCAGGACCCGCAGAACTAAACAGGATTTGCCCCTCCTTCCTCTTCCGCTACAAACTTCGTAACTTTTCCCTGTGCGGTCCATCCTTCTTCCTGTTCAGTTCAGTCTTGTGCCTGTCCCAGAGCAGTAGTGAACCAGAGGGCCCCGGTCTTCCATCACACCGTTTCATTCAAGGGTGTATTCCAACTCCATTGGTCTATGTTATTGCTGCTTTTCACTGTTACTCTCTTGCAAGCCCCGTTTCAGAGGAGGCAGAGTCCGAGCTGCTTTCTCTGTGTGTGCAGTGTGCCCGGACAGCCGTACTTGGAGGAGCCCTACCGGAACGTCTGCTTCCAGGCTTTCCTGACCACTTTACAGTCCCCAAAGTCGCCTGACATGGACGATATCACGTTTTGCATGGTAGGTAGGGCGCTGTCAACCTCGGGACCGTCGCAGGTGCGGCTGCAGGCAGCAGGGAGCAGCAGCTGCTCCCAGAGTTTGATGTGACGGCTGTATCGGTTTTGTCCGGAGATGCAGGCATTGGTGGAATGTTGTTACCTCAAAACACTGAAAGGGGAAGGGACTAGTCAAGGAATGTGTGTGAATGACCCGTGGACGTGGACAGCGGTGTGGGGATGGACTGGAGTGGGGGGCGGGGTGGGCAGAGGGGGGCAAAGGGGGGAAATGGGGACAAATGAATTAGACTAACAGTAAAGTATTTAAAAAATAAATGAAAAGACTGAGACCATAACTTTCAGGTTTAAATGATAAATTGGGTTTTTTTGGTTTGTTTGCTGTTGGGTTTGTTTTGCAAAGCAAGGTTTTTAAAGAAAACTGTTTTTTCCCTTCCTGACTATAAAAGCAGTACAGTTGCAGGCCCTGGCTGCTATAGCTCAGTGGATTGAGCATGGGCCTGCAAACCAAAAGGTCACCGGTTTGATTCCCCATCAGGGCACATGCCTGGGGTATGTGAGAGGCAACCACACATTGATGTTTCTCATCATCTCTTTCTCCTTCCCTTCCCCTCTCTCTAAAAATAAATAAGTAAAATTATTTTTAAAAATTTTACAAAGGAATACAGTTTCAGGCTAGTGACTATCCTTTAGATGGAAAGGAAAAGAGTAGATTACACAATATCTGCAATATTTTATTTATTTTCTTAAAAATCTGATGCATCCCTGACTGGTGTAGCTCAATGGGTTGGGTGCCCTGCAAACCAGAAGGTCGCTGGTTCAATTCCTGGTCAGGGCACGTGCCTGGTTTATATAGTTCAGGTCCTGATTAGGGGCGTGCAAGAGGCAGCTAATTGATGTTTCTCTCAGTCTCTTTCTCCCTCTATTCCCCTCTGTCTAATAATAAGTAAAATCTTTTTTTAAATCTGATGCTAATATGACAATTTGCTAATGTATTTTAAATTCAGAGTAGCACATTTCAAAAACAACAGATCTTGCATGGTAGAGTTCCTTACAGTCCTTTGCTAGGATACAAGCACTTGGGGACATACTGTTCAACATGCCCCCAGATCCTCTTTCTGTATGTAAATGATCATATTAAATATGTTGTTTTGCCATTTTTCTCCTTTTTAAGCTTACTATCTCTTGGACCTCTTCAGTACCTAGTGCTGTTCTCATGCTTTCTAACTCTAGGGGGCAAACCTTGGGAAAATTACTTCTTGAGCCCCCACCTTCCTCATCTGTGAAATGGGACAAAGGGTCTTCTGAGGGGGATGTGAAATGGAGCATTTAAAGTGCTTGCCGTTCTTACTGCTGACTTTCACATGTAGCACAGGATTAGCTTCTTATGTAATCACTGTCATAATCTGTGGAAATGGGAGTTTTTTCACTGTGTTTACTACTTCAAACAAGGCTGCAATTTGCATCCTCTCGGTGTGAGTTGGGTCTCTAAGGACAGGGTGTCGGAAGTGCGTTGCTGAGTGAAAAGTCCGTCTCAGTCGGAGTTGCCCTCCCAAAACCGACCCCCTGCTTCATTCCTTTGCCTGGAAGAGCCGCTGAGGCTGCCGAGTTAGAGTCCCCACTGCTGACCTCTGCTGCCACCTTCTCGTCCTGTCACCTTCTTCCCGCTGCACGACTCTTCTTTTCTCCTTCCTCACCGTTTATACCTGCTGGTTTATAGACGTGTGCCGTAGGACCACCCTTACTCAGTAAGAGCACTGCATTTTTCTGGGAAATAATTAGTTCATCAGATTTCCTCTCTGGATCTTCTCTTTGTTTCCTCATTTTCATTTTTGTTTTTTCCCCTTCCCTGTCTCAAGGCTTGTTTCATCACCTAAAGACATTCCTCCTCCCTCCTGAGTGGTGCTGGAAAGTCGATTCCTGGACAACCAAATTTCACTTGCCTTTTAACTTGGTCTCCTTTTTCCCCCAGTTGTTACAAAATGCATTAAAAGGTGTTCAGTCTCTTCTAAACGGCGGCAAGATGAAACTGACACAGACCGACGAGCTGGGTGCCCTCCTGGCCGTGCTGAAGGTGAGGCATCGTCTGTTCAAACCCCGAATCGCTGCAGTTGGTGTCTTTCCTCCTTAAAGCCCCAGCACAAGGGCAGCTCTGTCCACCCAAGGCTTTAGGGTATTGTATTTTAAGAGATAAGAATACAATGTTCCTATTGAATCGTACTTAAGAACTAGAAAAAATAAGCTTTGCTTTAGTAAATGTATCAAATTCTAATGTACCTTAACTTAGAAAGAGAGTGGGTATGATCTGTAGACAATTTAATTTCAGATGATCTTGATCATCTTTGTATTTGAAAGAAGAGCCAGGGCTTCTCCTTGGCTCTCGCCCCCATCCAGCAGCGGGCCGACTGTGGGAAAGCCGGGCCAGCCTCCCCGGGGCCCGGCTGTCTCCAGAAAACAGTACGAAGCTGTGTGCTGGCCTCTGACTAGAGCCACGTACCGTAACTTAGCTTTATCAGGACTAAAGTTGTACCGTTTCCCCTGTGCCATCTCCCAAAGAGACAGGGAGACAGATGCCCAGGTGTGGGCTTGGGTACGCTGAATTAGCAAGATTATATTTGGGTAGTATAATTAGGTAAAACTGGGTAAAGTATAAAGATCAATAAATAAAAGTAGTAAGTAAATGAAGATAAAAATCTAACCTGATCTGACCAAATGGCGTCCCTCCCACGGGATGAGATTGAACTCCTCTTTAAGTCCCCAAAACTGCCTTCCGTCCCATTTCTGTGTCCTTAATAACCTCCAAACATTATTCTGTCATAATGACAGAATGAAGAATTCTGGTTTCTGAGCTCTGTCTCTCTGTATTTTCTTCATCATCGCCATTAGAAATCCATGTTTCACGGGCTCCCCGGAATAAACCTAGAGATGCCTACGGTGCTGTACCCGACCCCGCTTCCGCAGTGTGACGGGCGGCCGCCTGCCAGGTCGCAGCTCTCCGAGCCCGGCGCTTCTCGGCCGGCTGTGGTACGTCGTTCCTGTTCAGATTTACGCCGCGGGTGGTTTTTAGTAGCTCGCCGTGTAATCTGTATGATTTGATCACTGCTGTGCCAAAGGCTCACCTGGAATTTGATTCGGTTCGGGAGTGTTAGCAGAGTGAGTTTAAACTTACCGCACTGCCGAGAATGCCAGTCGGCGTCTTACACTCCTACGACGCCTAGTGAGTGTATCAGTGGTAAAAGCGGGCATTCGCTTTACGCCGAGGCCAAGCCTCCTCTCCCCTCAAAGGCTCAGGATCACAGAGCAGCAGACCTTTTCTGCGAAAGGCTGTTGGGACGTGTTTCAGGCCTCTTGTGGCCGCCGGCTCTGATGTCCTCGTGCAGAAGCAGCCACGGACACTGTGTCAACGAGTGGGAGTGGCCGTGACCCAGTAAAACTATTTACAACGTCAGGCTGTGTGCTCGGCGGGACTTGCCTGTGGGCCGTAATTTGCTGACCCCACTCGAGACCATTCGAACCCAACTACCAGGCAACTCACCGTGTCCACACCCCTCACGTTCCCCAGCCTTCCCCACAGCTGCCCTCTCCCTGTTCTGTCGGGAACCCAGAATATACAGATGTATGACCAAGGTATCACATCTAGAAAGGTAATACCTGATAAAAATGCTTATAATCAAGCATTCTTGAACCCATCCACCTGTTCAGTGTTCACTGTACGTCTGCGACAGCCCAGACATTATGCCAACATTGAAGGTACAGACCGTTTAGGAGTCTGGGGGGAGAAGGCAAAGCTGGATGGACAACTGCAATGCAGTGTCGTGACTCCTCAGCAGCTTGTTCACAGGACCTTGGGAACACATCCGGGGCACCCACCAGATTGAGGCGTAAGAAGGCTTTTCCTGAAGATGTGGCTAAACTGAGACTCGAGGGTGAATGGTAGTACAGAAGGGGAATGCTCTTATTTGGGGGGGCAGAAGATGCATGAGTGTAGAGAATGAGAGTGAGCGTTGGCATAGAGCGTCAGGTGTGGTTGGCACAGAGCGTCAGGTGTGGTTGGCATAGAGCGTCAGGTGTGGTTGGCACAGAGCGTCAGGTGTGGTTGGCACAGAGCGTCAGGTGTGCAGAGGAGAGGGGCGGGCAGGTGTCTAGCAGAGGCCAGACCGTGAGGGTCGTGTGTAGTATGCCGAGGAACGTGGGCTTTTATCCTACAGTGGTGGAGATTCACTGAGGACGCTTACGTAGCAGAGCGCGATGACAAGACTTGCATTTTAGAAAAGCACTGTGGTAGCAAGTGACAGGGTGTGAGTCTGGAGCCACGTTAGTAATCTAAGGTGGGAGTGACGAGGACCCTCTTCCCCAAGATCGGGGGCTTTGAGAATGTAGAGGGGGACACAGATGCCACAGAGTTTTGGCTGTCAGGCGAGAAGGAACTGGCTTTTACTTCATATCTACACCTACAAGGCGCCGGTGCCCTGAAATGTGCATTGCATCTAATGTCAGAGGAGAGATGTTGATCTCTTCTCTGCATGTGGAGTGGTACTAACTCTGAGTCCCACCGGGGAGAACTGAGAGAATAGCCACTCGGGTCATTTTCTGTAGACCTCGATCCTCTCGCAGAACCCAGCTGAGAGGGCTGGATGCGTTCACAACCGGGCCAGGTCGGTGGTGCTAGCCTCACACCCACAGATGATGAGGCCCAGACTCAAAGATGCTCGTGGTTGGCCCCGTGCCACAGAGGTGGAATTTACACCCAGGCCGCGAGGGGCGCTCTGTCCCACATTTTTCATACCTTGCTTCTTATAACCCTGTAGGGTACGTGTAAGCACTTCCCACAGTGACTGGCACAGAGGGTACTAACTAAGGAAGTGCCACTTTTTCACTTCTTTCTTTCCACTGCATTTTGGGGACACATTTGGTAATTAACAAATGAGAAAGTATCGATGGTCAGCTAGAAGCTGTTTGGAAATCACTGTCGTACATATGTTTTCTTTTGCTCCTACCATCAGAATAGAAAGAAAAAATCAAAGATAAAACCAAAGAAAATGCAGCAAGGAGAGGAGGGGGAGGAGGAGGAGGAGTCCAGTGGAGAAAGAGAAGCGGCCCCCGCCACCGGCTCTGGCCTAGCGAGCCTGCACGAAGGGGGAGGGGCGCAGCCTCCCTCCCCCCTGGGTGTGCAGGGCTTGCCCTTCGAGGGGAGCGGAGCTGCGGGGAAAGACGGAGTCCCCTCGCCCTTCGGCCCCTCCGTCTGGAAGAGGCTCAGCAGCAGTGAGTCGGACTACTCTGACGCCGAAGGGGGCATGCAGAGTAAAATGAGGTAGTAGTACTTTGTTATGTTTTTGTGCCTTGCATGTAAGTGTTTATAACTTCACTTAAAACACTGACTGCTGCATGTGATTTAACTGGAAGACTCATTTATGTGGGACTTCGCAGTTCTCTGCATTTTGCCTCCTTCTCTTCATCTGCCTTATACGCGTGGTTTCTCCGCCTGGAATATTCTGCCTTCCACTTTTTTTTTTTTGCCTGTTAACCACTACTCAGCCGTCGTATCCTCTGAGAAGCCTTTCCTGGGCCTCCCCTCCCCGTCCTGGCTTAGGGACCTCTGCCGTGTGACCCTTCTACTTCTCTTTGCATTTGTGTCAGTAAGGACGGGTCACAGTTGTCTCTCCAGCCACGTCTCTGCCAGTGATAAGCTGGTCAGCGGCAGGCGCCAGTTCACGTCCCCGACCTCAGCAGGATGTCTGGCGCGTTCGCGTGGCACTCGGTGCCCGCTTGTCCGTCGGACGGGGCTCTGCCGTGTCTCTCGTCTCTCACTCATTTCTTAGCATCAAAGTGCTGCCCTCTTGTCCGTCTAGTGGTGTTTTTTTAATTGCTGACTCTATTAACGTGTTATACAGACAAGTTGCTTTAACACGTTTTAATTGTATTTTGAAAGATAATTTTTAATGTCATGTTGGCATCTTTAGGACTCAGAATATTGAATTTCTCAATGTATTATTTGAGTTAGCCGGAATAAATAGTATTTCATGCCTTTATTTTGAAAAAACTTAAAGAACTCTGTTTTTCCTCTTGGTTTTTAAAGGTCCTACCAAGCCAAAGTTCGCCAAGGAGCGCTAGCGTGCTTTCTTTCTACTATAAAATCGATCGAAAAGAAAGTCCTGTACGGCTACTGGTCGGCCTTCGTCTCGGACACGCCCGAGCTGGGGAGCCCGCAGTCAGTTTCCCTGATGACCCTCACGCTGAAGGACCCCTCCCCAAAGGTAGGAGGCGGTAGTTCTGAGTGCTGTGCTGGGGAGCGAAATGGGAAAGTCTCTGCTGTTTTCTCTGCCCCTCCCAGTCTCACCTGAATGCAGCCCCTCCTGACAGCAGCGCAGGTCCTGACCCGAGGCCACTCGGTGGCAGGAGAGTAGGAAACGGACTCACGCCAGCACGGGCCTGGGCCGCCGGCCGCTGTGTCCGTCACGCATCTGTGTCCCTCTCCCTCTCATTCTCCCTCCCCCTCCCTCTAAAAGTCAATGAATGAAGATTTTTTTTAATGCTCCTAAAAACTTTGAAAATTAAAAGCGTATGTAGAAGAAGAGGGTTCGACTCCTGACTTTCCACTAACTGACATGACTCGAATTTCAGACGCGAGCCTGCGCCCTGCAGGTTCTGTCCGCCATCTTGGAAGGCTCCAAGCAGTTTCTCTCCGTCGCCGAGGACACCAGTGACCACAGAAGGGCCTTCACTCCCTTCTCCGCCACGATCGCGTCCAGCATCAGAGAGCTGCACAGATGCCTCTTGCTAGCGTTGGTGGCCGAGTCGTCCTCGCAGACCCTCACTCAGATAATTAAGGTAGATGTGTCCAGTTATCTGCATTAGTTTTGTAGGTTTTACCCTGCTGAAAAGTGACCTAACAGAAGAATAAGCAGTCACTTTATTTAAAGATAGCCTGCTGGTACCTATGTGTCTGATCTTACCTACCATCTCTGTATGTCCAAATAAATGATGTACTAAAATATACTCCTTTGTTTTTAGTTTTAAATTGTACCAATGAGAAAACAAGTGCCCTCCCCCACCCACCCCCGCCCCCCCAAAAAAAGACACAAAAGAAGAATGATTTTCAAATAAGTGTGAAAACTTTTCATTTTTAGTAAATGCTGTAAAGTTTTGTCTCTCTGTTATGGCTCACTCAGGCCCGCTGACGGACTGTTCTTGTGCTTCGCAGTGCCTTGCAAATTTAGTATCGAATTCACCTTACAACCGACTGAAACTCAGCCTGCTGACCAAAGTCTGGAACCAGATAAAGCCTTACATCCGCCACAAAGGTTGGTGGCAGTTTAAACTAGTTGCTCTGGACCGGCCCATCCAGATGGTTAGTTTCAGAATGTTCACAGCAGCCGCGTGGCTCTAGGACGTCTGTTTACTCTCCTCGAGTTTTCAGGAGAATCGGTTACTGCCCGAACTTTGCTTTCCCTTTCTTTTTTTTTTTTTTTTTTTTTTGACCCCTGAAGCACCCCTGGAAGGAAGTGAGCTAGAAAATCAATTGTAAAATTGATTTCCAATTTGACGTATCTTTGATACTTGGTGCTAATCAGAGGGGCCCTTCGAGTTGATCCCAGGGCAGGGGGCCCCTCTAGTAAGTGGTGGTTCGCACCCTGTAGTCGCAGGACGGGTGGGTGGACGGTCAGCTAGACATCATCCTTTTAGAGGGAAAAACTGGGATGTGAAACCCAACTTCTTTCATGTTGTTCCTCTGAAGATCAGATAACATTTCAGACCCTCACAGCCCCACTAACCACAGAGCCTTATTTCTTGGTATTTCCTGCCGCACTCCCACATATAATATGCAGAGATGGGCAAAACAGTGTGTAGTTGAGAGTACGCAGAACACGTTCACTTACTAATTACTATATTATTTTCCGTTCGAACAATGGCAGCCCACTTCTGCGTGTCCTTGTGTGTGTGCTCTGAGCGCTTGCCTTTAAAACGTTTGTTTTCTTTTGTTTGCAAGCTTTATGGTCAGACACCATGCTGATAAGTTGAGTGTTCACTCAGAATTACAGAACTTGGTGGGGAGGGAGGGTTCGTGGTGACCCTGCGGTGGGGGCCCGGGGCCCGGAGCCAGCTGACTCCCGTTCCTGCTGTCCCGTGGTCGTGGGCCCTCTGAACCCCAACTCCCTCCCAACAGGAGGAATCGTACCAGCCCCGTAAGACCTTCAGGAGGCTTAGCCGAGATGAGGATGTGTAAGCTAAGTCCAGTCACTCCTTTCACCCGTCGTGAAATGGGACTGAGATGCAAATTGTGTCCTACTGTGTCTCATCACGCGAGTGGCAGAGGCGACTGAAACAGCCCAGGTCTCCTGGCTCAGTCCCCTGCTTGTCCCCTGCTTGTCCCCTGCACCCGCTTTGCTTCACCTGCGCGCTGAGGGGAGTGGACTGTGGCTCCGCAGTCCCTGTCAAGTGTTTACCTTTGTCCTCCATCGACTTTTTATTATTAAAATGTTCAGACCCGCCCTGGCTGGTGTGGCTCAGTGGACTGAGCACAGGCCTGCAAACCAGGTGATCACGGTTCAATTCCCAGCCAGGGCACGTGCCTGGGTTGCAGGCCAGTTCCCAGCAGGGGATGCACAAGAGGCAACCACACATTGATATTTCTCTCCTGTCCTTCCCTTCCCCTCTAAAGATATATAAATAAAATCTTTAAAAAAAAATGTTCAGACCCGCAGAAAATTGGAAAGAATAGTACATTGACCATCTGTGTACCTCCACCTAGACTTCACAGTTGTTACTGTTTGTCATGTTTGGTTTCTCTGTCTCTTACACGTATGCATCTGTGTGTGTGTATACACATGGGTGTGTATATGTGTATTTTTGTGTATGTATATAAAATTACATAGACTTTTTTTCTTGAACCATTTGAAAGTAAATTGCAGCATGGTATTTTATCCTAAATACCTCAGCATGCGTATCCTAAGAATAAAGGTGACCCAAAAAACACAAAACCATTTTTGCATCGAAGACATTTACATCAATTCCACGACATTGTCTAACATCTTGTCTGCGTTCATATTTCCCTGTGTCCCAGAAAGGCTCTTACGGCTTTTTCTAAACCTGTTTTCATTCAAGTTTCACTTATTGCATTCAGTTTTTATGTCACTTTAGCCTTTTCGAATTCAGAACAGCTCCACACCTTTTTCTCCTCTTTCATGATCCTGAGTTTTGAAAAAGTCCAAGCCAGCTGTCATATAGAATGCCTCACATTCTCTGTTTGCCCGATGGTTTCTTCATAACGTTGTCTAACTTACATCTCTGTCCTGTGTCTTTCCTACAAGCTAGAAAGTAGGTCTAGAGGCCGAGGTAGGCTCAGACTGCACTAAGACAGCGTGACTCTTAGCGCCCCCAGGCGAGACTGTGGCCCTGTAACAGCTGCTCCCACTGTGACAGGCTCTCACCGTTTCCTTTGACAGATGTTAATGTCCGTGTGTCGAGTCTTACACTCTTGGGAGCCATAGTGTCCACTCACGCGCCTTTACCTGAAGTCCAGCTCCTTCTGCAACAGCCCTGTTCCTCTGGACTCAGCAACAGCAACTCAGCAACTCCCCACCTCTGCCACCCCGACTGGTGGAAGAAAGCCCCCACAGGACCCTTCCTGGAAGAAGCATCAGTCGGCTCTCCAGCGGGGTCTTCAGAGCCCTGCTGGCTCATTCGACTCTGCATTTCCACGGTCGTGCTGCCCAGGGAGGGCTGCTGTGCGGGCATCGACGGCGGCTGTGCAGCAGGAAGCACCCACGTGCCATCCCCCATGCGCCTGGAGGCCTTGCAGGTAGCAGCTTCCGTTCCCTCGTAGGGTGCTGGGGAGGAGCGAGTCCGTGACGGTGACGTAGAGCCGAGCGGCCTGTCGGTGGCGTCGGCCGGAGGTGTGTTGCAGGTGTGAGTGCCTCGTCTGTTGCTTCCTTGTGGTGATGGCGGGGCTTCGGCTGTAAAATGGCAGGTTCACTTCTTGTCGTTGCGAACTGCTCTCCTCACCTTCCTTGGGCATCATGACAGGTGGGTGTGATGGTCATACGAGGTCTGTCCAGAAGGTGTCCAGGTGCGTACTTTGAAAAATAGAGACGTTTACTGAAGAAGATACAAGAAACACTGTACACAGGACAGTGATGCCTCGGTCCCTTTCAGAGTAGGCACCTCGGGACCTCACACGGTTTTCCCAGTCGCCATCAGCTGCCCCGTCATATTTTCCTGAATCTCATCAACAGTCTGAGATCTCTTCCCCTTCAAAGGTGATTTTAGTTTTGGGGAAAAGCCAGACGTCTCAGGGCATCAAGCCTGGTTGTAGGGGGCGCTGAGTCACCTGGCTGATTTGATGTTTCACCAAAAAACTCTGCACAAGACGTGATGCATGAGTGGGCACATTGTTGTGATGAAGCTGCCGATCACCAGTTGTCCACAGCTGCGGCCTCCTGAATCATCCAAATAGTTTCTTTGGAGTAATATTCAAGTTCAGTGCAAAATTTGATGCAGATTTGTTGCTCTACTCACTCAGTCATTTTGAATGTGACGGCCACACAGTACACGTGCTCACTCAACAGTATCTACCACCCCCACTGACCAGTACAGTGAAGTCACATACACCCATGCACATCCCAGTCCACTCTCCTTGGCTGCCAGGTTACATCAGTGTTGTGCAAACCCTTCTCGTTATATTAACAATGGCTGGACTATTTCCAGACAGACCTCAAGTAATTCTGAAAGAAATTGTGTAATCTTTGATTTCTGCAACTTAAAGTTAAATAAAAGTTTAATTCTCTGTAAACTTTTCTTTGGTCTTATATCTGCTTAAACCCAGAGAACAAATTATAAGTGTATCTTCACAGGAAGAAAACCCTGGATTAAAGTATTCGCTGTTTCTGTGCTCAAGTGTGACCAGAGACACGGGTTTGGTTCTGGGTGTGCGCTAATAACCTGCTTGACATTAAACACATCCTTTAACCTCTTTAACCGTTAACTTTTTCAGCCTTAGTTTCTTCAGCTGAAATATTTAATTAAGATCTACCTTAAAAAATTGTACCCAGGCTTACTTAAATGAGATAACATTGATAAAGAAACGTTTCATAAATTATAAACCACCATAAAATTATATGCTATAGTTCATTGATTTTAGCCATAAAATAAAGGTTTTGCTTGCTCTTCATTTCATTCAGCATCACACTTCAGCCCTTTGTTAAGCGTGAGCAGTTTCCGAAATGCGGAAACCCTGTTCCAGGGTCGCGGCCCTGCCCTGAAGTTGCGGGTTGTGCTCTCTCCTCTCCGCAGGTGCTGGCCCACCTGGCCAGGGGCTACTTCTCGGTGGCTCAGGTCTACCTGATGGAGCTCGGAGAGGTGATCTGCACGTGCCTCGGGGAGGCAGACCCGTCCATTCAGCTCCACGGGGCAAAGGTAATTTCCGTTCACAGCCACACGCTTTCCCCCCTAACTTTTATGTTCTTCCTTTTATATTATATGGTCCTTAGTTCCGAGGTTTCTTCAAGGGGTTTCAGGCAGGGAAGTCATGCATTCCTCTGTTCTCGGCTCTACATATAAACCCGAAGAACTGATTCAGTGAGAAATTAATGGCACTGTAAATAGCTGGTGATTTTGCTCCTGGAAAGCGTGCCTTTAATGTGGAAGTTACATAGAAAAGAAAGGGAATCAGTTGGAACTTCCTTTTCCCCTTGATCTGAGGTGATCTCCAAAGTAGTCTTTTCCCTCGTGGTCCTAACGCTCTGCTCTGATCACCGGTTTCTTTTGCCTTCACAGCTTCTGGAAGAACTGGGCACGGGCATCATACAGCAGCACAAGCCTGACTCCCCCCTCCCACCCAGTCAGAGGGTGCCCGTCACCTCGGTAAGTAACTGTCGATTCACAGGCTCTTCTCTTCCTGCCTCAGTCAGTTCACTTTGAGGCTCGGCGATAAAGTGGAGTGGACAATGTGGTGTCCTCCAATGTCAAAAATTGCGGCTTATTATCTTGGATAATGAGATACTAGCATGAACGAGTTTTATTTGCATTTCAGTTTATTTGCATTTCAGTATGTAGTAAGATTGTATGAAACGTACAGCCAGCAATGCAAAAACCAATTAATTATTTCTTTGCGTAAAGCCTGGTTTGGTCACTCAGCCTGCCCAGCAGGCAGAGCAGAGTGGCAGGGAGAGCCACACACTCGGAGTCTGGAGGTCAGAGAACCGCCTAACGCCATGTGCTTGTGGGCAGTTTCTTCATCTCCGAGAGGAACAAAAATTCCTAGTGCATGGGCCGTTGGAAGATTGAATGAAATGAAAAGATGCTGACAAGTAGTGGCGCCCAGTGAACATTGATGCCCTCAACCCCCTCACTGCCGCAGTCCCCCCAGGATTCCTGTTAAGTTCTCGTCATCTTAGGTTGTGTCTGTCCCCCGACACTGTGCCAGTCTCTGGAGGGGGAACCTGTGACCTCACCAAAAAAGGCTCCTACTTCGTGCCAAAAGCACAATCAGAAAAAAACTGCGGAAAACTCTGCAGTTTTCTCCCTCTGCCTCCTCATCCTGTTGATTCGTTCCCTTCACGATCCCCATCGTCCTCTCCATGGTCCTCGCAGTGAATTGAGCCGGCCTGGCCCCGGCCTGGCCCCGGCCCCACCCGCAGTCTGCCTCGGAAACTCATGTGGAGCCGTGCGCCGGTGGGAGCTGAGCTTCGCCGTCCAGCAGACCCCAGAGGGGCAAGATGCTTAACTGTCCACACTCGAGTATTATTTCATCTGTGAAAATGGGATATACTTTCTGTGTTGCCTGTTGTTGAGTAATAGTTATCCTAAACCTTTAGCAGCTTAAAACAACACCCATTTATTCTTTCTCATAGTTTCTTGGGGTCCGGAATTGAGAGCAGCTCGGCTGGGGGGCCGGCCCAGGCTCTGTCCGCAGGTGGTTGGTCAGGATGGTGGAGCGGAGCTTGGCGGGCTGGGGGGCCTTCTTCCAGGGTGGCTCGTTCCCATGCCCCCAAGGTGGTTCTGGCTGCTGGAAGCTGGCCTCACGGCTCCCCAGGAGGCCCTCCCCTGGGGGCTGCTTCAGTGTTCTCCTGGTTTGGAAGCTGGCTTCTCCCACAGCGAGTGAACCGGAGAGAGAGAGACGGAGACACGCAGGGTTTTTATGACCCAGCTTCAGAAGTGTCACAGCGCCATGGCCACACCGTCCGTCCTAGGGTTACGCAGGTCAGCCCCAGCCAGTGTGGGAGGGGACTGACGCCTCTTACACGTTAGACGGAGAGAATCATCAGGGCCATCTGGGAGCTTGGCGACCACAGCCGTCCACATTCTTCTGGTTTGGGTGGGGAGGGCCCAGCCTGGGTTTCCAGGAGCTAGGCCTGTGGGGAGGACAGAACCGGCGCACGGGTGCCCGGCCACACTCAGGAGTACCTGTGGGGCAGAGAGGGAGGCACCGAAACCGCAGGCAGATTTGCCCAGTGAAACGCCAGGGTTTTAGAAAGCGCGGGAGGGAAACTGGAAAGGCACTCTTCCTGTGCCTGCCGCCTCCAGGGCTTTGAAGGAGATGATTCCTCACGGTGCTTAAAGCAGAGCCTGCTGCTCGGTCGGCACGCGGCCCACGGGCCACTCCGGGACCCCGATCTCTGTGCCCACGGAGAAGCAGCCCGAAGGAGCCCTAGCTGGGTGTCCGTGACCCGGGTTTCAGTCCAGCTCCGCTGCCCACTTGTTTCCTTGCGCGTCAGTGTCCTGGGAATGCGGAGATAATGCCGCACCCTCAGCGTGGTTCCCTGAGGGAGAAAATGCGTTGACGTATGTGGGGCAATTACAACGATGTCTGGTGTCTCGTAAGCTCTCTGAGGAGCATGAGCCGGTACCGCCATCGTGACTGTCGCCACCATCTTCATCCTCCCTCTCGGCGTTATCTCTGTGGCCCCTTGACTCCCGCAGGCTGCAGTTCCTGACAGTGAAACGGACGGGCGAACGCAGTCGTTCCTAAGGTTCCTTTCAACCGCCGGGGAGGCCCAGTGACGGCGTTTATCGCCAGCTACCGCTGGGAGGAAAAGTGTGTCACGCTGCAGTCACTCGTGGCCGTCCCAGCGGCAGTCTGGTCCCACCACTGTGCCCCTGGGCTGCAGCTGCACCTCCGCCCTGTTCCAGGTGGTGCTGTTCTGGACCGCGATGCTGAACGGCCCGCTCCCCAGGGCCCTGCAGAACTCCGAGCACCCGACCCTGCAGGCGAGCGCCTGCGACGCCCTGTCCTCCATCCTGCCGGACGCCTTCAGCAGCCTGCCGGTAACTCCAGGCCCCTTGTCTTGCCCCTCAGGGTGTCCCTGCGAGTCCCAGCTCCAGTTCGACTCCAGGCCTTTCTTATTTGAGCTAGTGCTCAGCATCCTCTCCGAGGAAACCGCGCCCACCCTACTTGCGTGTGGGGTGAGGGCCTTTCCTCCCCCTGCTTAGAAGGTGGGGGGAGCCGGAGGGGGAGCAGAGGCTTTGAAGTCAGAGAGGTTTCAGAAGGAATTCAAATCCGAAAGTTAGAAAGACCTGGGTTTAAGTCCTAGCTCTTCCACGTTCTGGCTGTTCAGTATCTTCCCTGAAACTGTGTTGTGTCATCAATGAAATGGAAACGATGTGAGTAATAACAAGAATATGCGAAAGAAAAAAGCAAAAAGAGAAGCGTATGAAAACACGTAGCCAGTGCCCAGTGCGTGTGGCATCCGCACGGTCCCTCCCCTGCGGTTGTCAGTGGCGTCCACATGGTTTTTACTTGTGTAAATCGGCTGCTGTGAAGAGGCAGCTCTGGTGACGTAGAAGAGTAAGGTGGCCTCGTTCACGCGGTTGTGAAGGGTGTGGGCACAGACGCGGTGTGTGCCCTGAACCGGGGGGACGCTCAGATAACCGCTGGGTCTGAAGTGCACCTTTGCCTTCCACCAAGGCAGCCTTGAGGTCTCGGCCGCGTTCACCTCCTGCACGTGGCCCCAGACACAGACACGTCGCGGTCACTTGTCACAGACAGAGCTCACAGCCATCCATTCTCGCTCTTCCTTTGCCACCCCTCCTCGCTGCAGAGCGACTGGCAGATCCTGTGCGTCACGGTGCTGCTTGGGCTGAACGACAGCAGGAACCGCCTAGTGAAAGCGGCCGCCTCGCGGGCCCTCGGCGTCTACGTGCTGTTTCCCTGCCTCCGACAGGTCTGAGCGGCCCGGGGATTCCTCTGGGCCCTGGTAGTCCACGTTGGTCTCATTATTTTCTGGTGGACATAGAGCTCCTGAGTTGGACAGTAAAGGAAGTCAGATTGCTTTGTCATCTTCCTTAATTGCTACTAAAATATGGCAATACCTGTTGTTCATTTATTTTTTTAAGACTTTATTCATTCATTTATTTTTAGGGAGCGGGGAAGGGAGGGAGAAAGAAAGGGTGAGAAACATCGATGTTGGAGAGAAACGCCAATCCTTTAAAACCATGGAAGACCCATCCCTGGGATTTCTGTGGGCGTCCAAATCCCAGTGCATAAGAACAGTAAACTGGGTGAACGAATTTTGATTCCCAAATAGAAATTTGTGGTAAAGTCTTAGCACTTTGTCTGAACAACCGAGAATTTCCTGGGTAGCAGTGTGAATTTCTGAGGTAACTCTGTCATTGTGGTTTGTGTATCTTGTAGGACGTCATCTTTGTTGCAGACACAGCCAATGCAATACTGATGTCGCTTCAGGACAAGTCTCTGAATGTGCGAGCCAAAGCAGCCTGGTCCCTGGGCAACCTGACCGACACTCTGATTGTCAACATGTGGGTGACCCAGCACCTCCCCATGGGGTGACTTCCGGGGCTGAGGTCCCTGCTAGGAAAGAATGAGCAGTAACGCCCCCACGTCATGTAGCCCGTGCTCCTGCTTTGTTTTGCCTGATAGTCCCTCAAGTAATAAGATCGCTGTGCTGTTCCTAATGCTTGTGTGTACAAGTACGGTATGCTGATATGAGAAGTGTGTCCACATCCTAGGAAACGTGGAAACACAAAAGTGGAAGTCCAGCACCTTCGTAGTGGCTGCCCTCTGTTCTGCACACGACGCGTGTGTGTTTGAGCAGTGTGTCCACGGGTCAGAGGGACGGAGGAACAGGACAAGGGCTGCTCCCTGCACAGCCGTTCCCTTCCCGTCCTGTCCCAGTCTCCCGCCCCAGAAGCGGCCGCTCTTGCTGGGACACCAGTGCCCCGCTCTCTGTCACTGAGCTCTGGCGGGTAACACGCACCAGCCGTCTCCTGGCTCCCACTGACGTTTATAAGTCACTGCTCACTGACGGTGCCATGTGGTAGCCATTCACCATCTCCCTGTCCCTGGCATTTACGTGTTTCAGGCTCCCACATGCAGCGAACATGCACTCTTCATGCATGGAGTCCCCACTGGAGTCATGTCCGTCAGTCACATCCCTGCATGTGCACCTACTGGGTCCAACAGTGTGAACTGCAGGTTTTGGTATAAGCTGAACAGATTTGTGGAGCTGTTTTTTTGAAGTTTTTGTACTCACGCTAAGTGAATGTATTTGTATGTATATACATTTCAGTGGTTTTATCTTTTAACGTGTTTTGCCCACTTTGGCTGGAGCAGGGACACACCGGACCCCAGTTTCCAGGAGGAGTTCTCCGGTCTCCTGCTCCTGAAGATGTTGCGATCCGCTATAGAAGCGTCCAGGGACAAAGACAAGGTGAGCCCGCAGCAGAGCCTCGTCTTCGTCGGGCAGAGACCTGGTGTGTCATGGCTTCATTCCGTCTGACTGGTCTCTGTTCAGAGGGGAGCGAGAGGGGTCCAGGGTGGAGAGCGGCCCACTCCACACCGACACCTGCGTTTCTGACCTCCTGGCTCATAAAAGCATCACTGCCATTTGTAATCTATGCCATGATATGTCCCCATCTGTTTTAATAGATGTTTTGGGGTGTTTTTTTGTTTTTCTCCCCTCAAAAATCTTGAAGTAGAATTGACAAGTGAAGAAGATGAGCGGCCCTTGGTTCGAATATTCCTGCGACACTAACAAGTTTGACAAGTATTGTCCTGGGCTGCAGGGTCAGGCATACTTGTTCAAATCCTCGCTTGCCCTTTAGTGGTGGTGCCCTTTGGTGCACGTGTGGCTTCTCTGGAGGTCAGTCTCTTCATGTCCAAAACGGATTCTGTTGCGAATGTTGCGTGCACCTCGGGGAGCGCTGAGACACCGGGTCCTAAAGCGCAGACCGACTAACCTCGCGCAGACTGACTGCGGTTAGTGCCGTGGTTCTGACCACCTGGGAGGCCCCGCCTTCCGACTAATTCCGTCAGAATTTCTGCGGTTAGGGTGTGGGGATTGGTTTTTAAAAAGAAAGCTCCCAAGATGATTCTAATATGCTACAGAGAAAAAAGTACTTTCCTCTGGTAGAAAAGCATTGGTCTGGGATTGTGAAACCCAGCGCCCCTCCCAGCCGCGCTGCAGGCCAGCAGTGTCCTGTTGCCCCTGGGCTTTCCCTGCCTCTGTAACTAGGGGAGGAGGGATTATCTCTGAAGTCCAGTCCAACAGTGAAAAGACCAGTGCAGGGTGCTCTGTAGAGACTCCCCTTTCCGAGGGCTCAGAACACCAGCCAGACGAGACCTTGCGGAGTCCCAGGAGCTCACATCTCCACAGCCTGCATTTTTCACGAGCTCTCTTCTTTAAAGCCGTCTGGGACCTCCTGGGTTTTTTAAGGCTGAAATCATACTTTCTGAACCATCCCTTCGGGAAAACGGATTCCTGATTATTTTCCATTTTATTCTAGGTGAAAAGCAACGCAGTCCGGGCCCTTGGAAATTTGCTCCACTTTCTGCAGCCTCCTCACATAGAAAAGCCCCGGTTCGCTGAAATCATAGAGGAGTCCGTCCAGGCCCTGATCTCTGCCGTGCTGACCGAGGCCGCCATGAAAGTCCGATGGAACGCTTGCTACGCCGTGGGGAACGCGTTTAAAAACCCCGCTCTTCCGTTGGGTATGAAAGTTTTCCCCTGCCCTCCAGGGTCCCAGCTCCCCCTGGGATGGCGCACTCCAGTCTGTGCTGTTGCTGAAGACATTCGTCACAGAATTGTTTATCTCACCACTGGAAACAAATGGAAATGTACTGAGCATCCAAGTTCAGAGTCACTGTATGTCCCTCTCACTTAAATGTAAAAAATCATTTAAGCCTTACTCTTTACGACCTCACTCTTTCTAGGAACGGCCCCGTGGACCTCGCAGGCCTACAACGCGCTGACGTCGGTGGTGACGTCGTGCAAGAACTTCAAAGTGCGCATCAGGTCCGCCGCCGCCCTTGCCCTCCCGGGCAGGAGGGAGCGCTACGGGTCTGCCGACCAGTTCGCGCAGATCTGGAGGGCGCTGGTCACCGCCTTGCAGAGGAGTGAAGACACCGCCGACTTTTTGGAATTCAAGTACTCCGCCAGCCTCCGCACCCAGATCTGCCAGGCGCTGATTCACCTCTTGAGCTTGGCCAGTGCCCCAGACCTGCCCTGCATCAAAGAAACCTTGGAGGTGAACGGAGACATGGTCCAGCCCTATATTCTGCAGTTTTTAAAATCGGGCGCAGAGGGAGGTGACAGCGGAGCCCCCCACGGCCAGCAGGAGAGAGACCAGATGGTCAGAACAGCCCTGGAGCACGTGAGCAGTGTCCAGGCCCTGCCTGGCGACACAGCCAAAAGGGCCATCGCGGGCTTCTTGCAGGATACCCTGACCATCTATTTTGACTCAGTCAGGTGCTAAATGTGCTCCCAGGTTGAACAAATCAGCGACTGTTCCACTGTGCTTTCCAGGGGTCACGTGGTAACAGGAAAACCCAAGCTTGAGCTTCAGATAATGTCAAATTCATCAGTAATCTTAGGGACAGAGGTACTCCATCCAGTATTTATTTAGAATGAATTAGCAGCTGTGTTTATTTTTCTAACAGGGCTCAGCCACGGTCTGGGTTGATGGGTTGAGTCTGACCTGTGTAACCAGGAGCCAAGGAGTTGGGTTGTAGGATGGGCTGAGCACAGTGGGGGATGTACTCAGCCCATCCTACAGGAAAAGAAGGCAGCCCTTGCCGGGCAGCTTACTTGGTTAGAGCGTCGTCCCAGCGCCCCAAGGTTTTGGGTTCAACCCCCTGTCAGGGCACATACAGGAATCAACCAACATGTCCATAAATAAATGGAACAACAAATTGATGTTTCTCTCTCTCCCCCCCCATTAAAAGTCAATAGATTTTTTTAATTGTTTTAAAAAGGATTTAGGAATCCTAAAAGGATTTAGGAATTTTGTCTGTGGGAATTATTTTTTGTTTATAATAAACTAGTGAAAACTAGTGTGCCTGCAACCTTCCATCGTTATAAAGTTGCGTTTGCAGGCAGCTGCAGGCATCGTTATAAAGTTGCATTTGCAGGCAGCTGCAGGCAGTGCTGATGTGCAGCCGTGTGCTCTGGCGCAGGTGCAGTGGTGGCTGAAACACGGCGAGTTCCTTACAGGTCGGTAATACCCGCTGGGCTGGACCCCCCAAGCGCCCACCCCGGAAGCCCCTCTGTGCCTTCTGAAGGAAGCGGCTATTTTCTTGTCATTTTTGTCGAAGTGTGGCATATATACTTTATTCCTAGTTCTTTGGGCTTTTACTGGTGGGTTTTTTGACAAGATATTGTGAAATGGCTTTGGATGGTTTCATTTAATGAATTACTCTTATCCTTTGCTTTTCTTGAATAAAATCAAATTTTTTCTTTTTTAAACCTTTTGCTTCTGTGAAGGTTTCCAGGTCTCTGAAAACAGATGTTTATGTTCGTACGCAGAGAGAGACCGAGGGTGAGCACTTGTAGAAACTGCGGTACGAGCTCCCGAGTCTGCAGCAGGGCCTCTGTTCCGGCTGCGGAATGAGCACATCCTCGGTGCGCAGGGCGGGCGTGCCCCCGGGGCAGGCCTCCTCCGGGACTCTGGGCCGGGGCCTCGGCCTTGCTGCCCTTGTGGAAGGAAGCCACGCAGGGCATGAAGAATTAGATCTTATTTGATAAGAAACAGTAAAAGGTCTGGCTCTGAGTCAGAACCCTAGTTCAGAATGCCCAGTTCTGGACTTTCCTTTGAAAGACGAGTTTGGAGCAGTCACTCTGGCACGGAGGGCCAGTTCCGTGGGCAGGCAGCAGCGGGAAGTGCCGCTCGCCTTCAGAGCTGGAGAAGGGTGCACGGGTGGCCTCCCTCCCTCGTGGCAGCGGTGGTAAAGCAGGCGTGCCAGGGTCGTCACTGCAGGGCAGACAGAAACGTCCCGCAGGACACCTGGGCAGGACTCCCTTGATCTTGACACCTGTCCACGAGTCCAGACCAGGAGCAGAGCCTCACTGTCTTTCCAAAAGCTGAGTTAACTCACCTCGGCTCGTTCAGCCTTCCTTGGCCCTGTGTCTCGGAGAAGAGCCCGGGCTGAGGCCGGGCTCTGCTGCTCCAGTGTGAACGTTACTTGCCTCTCTACTGCCTTAGTTTTCTCATCTGTAAAATGGGGATAATAGTACCTACCTCTTAAGGATGTTACAACGATTCAATTTGTTAATAGGTGGAAAGTTCTTAAGACAGCTTCTGATGATAGATGTGAGATATTTATTTCCTTGAATTTTCAGAACACTAGGCAGAAATACTGACGACACAGTGTCCCTGATGACAAACAGTTGGGTTCTTCCCCCGCCCTTTTAGGTGAGATGTCAGCTGGACGCCTCAGGGGCCGGGCCAGCAGTGTAGGGGAGACACCGCCCCAGGACTACTTAGCCTGCCACACGGGCGAGGGAAAGGACTAGAAATGGCAGAGGCTGCGTGCTCAGTGGGGAATAGTAACCACTTTCCTGGTTCTGCCTATGACCCAGCCTGAGGGCCAGTCTTCAGGAGTCAGGGGTCCAGTTTCAAGACACTTTGGGATTACCCCTGGTTTTTAAAGGCCCTGAGTAACCATGTCCCCAGGCAAGTGACGACCTCCTCTCTGTAAAATGGGGATGAAGACCTCAGGGGTTCGGGAGAAGGTCACATAATGCGTGTAAGGCCTCTGGCTCGGAGCCGGCCCACAGCAGGTGCCCAGGGATAAATAGGTCCCTCTTCACACTTGTCTTTCTTTCTGCCCTGCCCCGGCCGGAATGCCTGTGCCCTCAGTGGAGGAAGACCCCGGGGGTCTGGAGTGGGATCCCGGGGCGGAGCCTCTGCCTGCTTCGAGCCCAGAGCAGGAGCCTCAGCCCTGGCAGATGAGGACCTTAAAATATTAGTGCTGGGGCCCACGTCTCGAACACTGAGCATTCATTTGCCTTTTCTGCCCAGCACACTGGGGGCTACACCATTGCCCTCGGTACCGCTGCTCAGTGGCCTGGGGGGGGTGGGGCCCGACCGGTCTGGGGACCTAATTCAAAACAGGAGCGGCTCATTTCAACTGCAAAGGCCCTTCCTCAAGAGTTATTGCTCCACAGCCTATTCCAGGACTAACAGGGCTGACTGCGGGGGTGCAGGCATTTTTCGGATGAGAAGTTGTGTTAACAGATGATCATCATTTTAATTGATCCAGTAAGAAATGCCAAATGGTCGTTTTTTGGATGCGGAAAGAGCTTTTGATAAAACTTGGTCTCCTTTTTTATCAAGATTATTTTTAAACAGGAATTTTAAAAGGTATTTTATTGACAGCATAAACTGTATCTATCTTAATAGTGATTTCCATTTTAAAAAGTCAGAACTAAGACAAGTAAACTTGCAATTACTATTGGCTAACATATAAGATAGGATGGCTAATGTCATAAATCAAAAGTTCAGTTTTTCGGACTTCCACCAAGATGGAGGCATAGGTGGAAGCACTGTACCTTCTTGCACAACCAAGTTTAAAAACAAAGTTTCAGTAACAAAAACGCAGCCAAACCACAGAAAATTGAACTACACGGAAGTCTGACAACAACGAACCCTTCAGCCAAACCGGTAAGAGGGGCAGAGCCAGCAGCAGAGCAGGGTCGGGCTGGAAAGATCCACCAGACCGACCTGCGTGCACGACCCAGGTGCGCCAGCAGCCATGGGCGGGTCCCAGGTGTGGAGAAGCGGGAAGACCCACTGAGGGTGCAAGGCGGTGGACTCCCTGAGGGCTGACTAAGGTCACACATTTGCATGCAGATAAACCGGTGAAGGAGCGAGCAGTGAGACGGACCACACAGACCCCAGTGGCAGGAAGTGGCAGAGAGAACCACCATTGTCCCTCTCTGACTCTGCCCCCGCATACAGTGTCACAAACCAGCAACCTGGGTGGCCCCGCCCTGGTGAACAACTAAGGCTCCGCCCCTCATACTTAACAGGTGTGAACAGATCAAAACATGGCTCAAGAAGAACTCAGAGCCCCAGAGCTGATAAATCTAAGTGATGAAGAAATAGCCAAACTTTCAGATGCACAGTTCAAAATACTGGTGATCAGGATGCTCACAGAACTGGTTGGTTTTAGTCACAAATAAGAGGAACATATGAAGGCTAAACTAGTTGAAATGAATGGTAATGCACAGGAAACCAATAGTAATGGAAAGGAAACTGGGACTCAGATCAAAGGAGTGGACCAGAAGGAGGAAAAATATGACCAAACAGAAAAGGATGAAGAAACAAGAATTCAAAAAAAAAATGAGGGGAGGCTTAGGAACCTCCAGGACATCTTTAAATATTCCAACATCTGAATTATAGGGGTACCAGAAGGGGAAGAGGAACAGCAACAAGTGGAAAACTTATTTGAACAAATAATAAAGGAGAACTTCCCCAATCTGGCAAAGGAAATAGACTTCCAGGAAATCCAGGAAGCTCAGAGAGTCCCAAAGAGGTTGGACCCAAGAAGGAACACACCAAGGCACATCATCATTACATTAGCCAGGATTAAAATGGAGAGAATCCTAGAAGCAGCAAGAGATAAGGGGACAGTCACCTACAAAGGAGTTCCCATCAGACTGTCAGTGGATTTCTCAAAAGAGACCTTACAGGCAAGAAGGGGCTGAAAAGAAGTATTCCAAGTCATGAAATCCAAAGACCTACATCCAAGATTGCTCTATCCAGCAAAGCTTTCATTTAGAATGGAAGGACATAAAGTGCTTCTCAGATAAGATCAAATTCAAGGAGTTCATCATCACCAAGCCCTTATTATATGAAATGTTAAAGGGATTTATCTAAGAAAAAGAAGATAAAAAAGATGAACAGTGAAAGGATAGCAGACTCACAGTTATTAACAACCACATCTAAAACAAAAGCAAGCTAAAAGGACAGCTAGACCAGGAGCAGAACCATAGAAATGAAGATCACATGGAGGGTTAGCAATAGGGGAGTGGGAGAAGGAGAAGGGGGGAGAAGGTACAGAAAATGAGCAGCATAGATGGTAGATAGAAAATAGATGGGGGGAGGGCAAGAATAGTATGGGAAATATAGAATCTAAAGAACTTGAGACACGTGGTCATAAACTAAAGGGGGGAATGGTGGGGGACGGGGTATGCAGGGTGGAGGGGAATGAAGGGGGAAATAGAACAACTGTAACGGCATAATTAATAAAATATATTTTTTAAAAAGTACAGTTTTTCAAAAAAATTTTTTAAAGACAGGTTCCAAATTATTCTCTGTAGAACGTCAGGTCAGTAACTCCTCCACATCATTTAGGAGCCTTTGCTGCGCAGTCCTGGCAGGAGGTGCTGGCTGGAGGCCTGGGTTCCCATCCTGGTGGGGGGGGGAGGCAAGTGGATGGAAGGGGCTTGGCAAGTTGGAGTGCGGGAGGCCCCCAGCATCCGGGCATCTCAGAGTCACCCCCACCATGAGCAGAACACTCATGCATGTGTGTGTCCTGGGAAGCTGTTGGATTTCTCATTTTAAAGATGGACAAACTGACCCACGTGTACAGACACACACATAAACACAGAGAGACAGCTCAGCTCACCCCCTGAGCCTTAGGAAGTCAACCTGGCACAAGGGTGCTCAAGAGTTTTCTGGGTGGCAGTCTCCCCCGAATCCCCCTCAGAGCCAGGACAGGGCAGAACATCAGGAATCTGGGCTGGACATTTTTCCTCTGCTTTTGACCAGTTTTCTTTAGAGAAATGCTTGGCCACAGCCTTCGTCCACCCTTTTCCTGAGACCAACCTCTGATCTTTAATACACCCTGAACTTGGGCTCCATGCCCTTGGCCCCATTCAGCTGAAGTCAGACTGTCTGCTGTACAGAAAGGGAAGGTGTGAGTGAAGGTGGGGCGTGGGGCTTCCCTGCCCCTGCAAGAGGCTGTGAGGAGGCCGGTGTCTGGCCTTTCCTTTATTAAGCACCTAGTGTATGTTCAGTGCATTGATATACTGCCTTGCTGAGTTTGTACACCAGGCCTCGAGTTCCGCTGCACTGTGTCCTTGGCATAAGAGAACACAAGCTCAGAGTGGGCCACTGGCTCACTGAGACCACGCAGCTAGTTCACCAGAGCCAGAGTGTGAGCCCAGGTCTGTCCTGTTCCAAAGCTGCCCTCTGACTGTTCATGTCGCACCCCTTCCACCGTCCCTGAGCCTGCTTCTCTGGACGCCTGGGAGGGAGAGGAAGGTGTTGTCTACGACCTGGGAACTGGAACGAGAGAGAGAACTGGGCCTGTGGAAATAGACACAAACATGCAAAGGCTGTTTGTTCGGAACAAGGGAGCCTGCTACCGTCACTTGGGTTCAGCAGACACGGGCAGGTGGGAAGCTCTGCCGTGGACAGGGAAGGCGCCAGGTGAGCGCTGGTCGGAGGCCGCTGGCAG